ACTGTTGATAATTCTGTTTTATATGAATTATCAACAGTGTTATAGGGGGGTCGACTTATAAATAAAAATTTATAGGTAAATTTTATTAAATATCTGAGAATTAATGGAATAGTTTAAACCATTTTATTTGAAAATAAATAGAAGATAATAAAGGGTTTTAAATTGCTTGCTGTAGTAAAATTCTTTATAACATTTTTGTGCCATGGATAAATTTCAAATAGTATAAAAGAATACATATGTGGGTGATATAGTATGTTACAGATGATATATGGTGATATACGATGACAGTAACTAAATTTAAATATAAAATTTATAAAGCAGAATGATAAAATTTCATATTTTTTTTTTTTTATCTGTTAACCTTCTTTCTAAGGTGGGATTACTAAAGGAGAAAGAAGGACGGAGACTCCTCAAGCAAAAATCGAACCCATGCTCTCCGGTGCAAGTATGTTTCTACACTATCACTTTGACTTCTGATAAAATTTTATGTATGATAATAATACAGATTAAACTTTTATAATATAATCCCTTTTTGTTAATGGAAGATAATCTGTAGTTAAATTTACGGTTTTAAAAGTTTTAAACTAATACTTTTTATAAAGAGTAAATAAATAGACTATATATATATATATTGGGAGTTGTTATAAAGAACAATGTCTAATTAATTTAATTCTATAAATTTTATATGTCAATGAATGTTCTTTATATAGTTAGACGTCAATTGGCCGATCATGAGACGAAATAATGTTTTCTTAGGACATTGTTGCTGTTTAATTTAGTTAAAGCACATAGAGTCAATAAAGTTCGAGTCGACAAAGAAGTGATTGTTCTCTTTTTTTTTCATGTCTACGAATAAAATGCTTATAAAGAGTAAATAGTATTAAATTAAAGTCTCAAATTGAATGACATTTTATAATACTTTTTATATTTAAAATGTTAATATAATCGTTTACAAGNATGCTTATAAAGAGTAAATAGTATTAAATTAAAGTCTCAAATTGAATGACATTTTATAATACTTTTTATATTTAAAATGTTAATATAATCGTTTACAAGATTTTATTTTATTTTTTTTATTTTATTATACGCTTATTCATTAGATATTATTTAATCAAGAACTTCAAAACTATCATCTGAAATTCAATATTATTTGTTATTTATTAATTTAAAAGTTTTAGTTTTGCTAATCAGAAACTATAATAAGTCCTATTAATAAACATGGTTCCAATAGATAATATATACACAGAAATGTATTTTAGAACAGTTTTGTTTCTAATTTCTTTCTTATATTTTTTATAATTAACGTTTAGAGTCCCGAGTCATCTTCGTGATCATCATATGAATTTAGTATGCCAGCTTCTTTGCATCGTATGACGTTATCCTAAAACTAAGTATTAGCCTTAAATTCGACTTGTCGTTATTATGAAGTCTATCTTCACGAATGAACTTTGACATCCTATTGATACTCGGCTTAGATTGACCATGATAGGAAGAGCTTCTAGCAATTTTCTTGAAGATAGCTATGACAGCGGAACTACTGAAAGAAGGATTATTCGATTTGTCGGATACAATGATCAATATCAGTCCTTATTCTCTCCATATAAATTTGTATGCAATGATCGACATAGGTCTGCATGTTTTCCATGTCAATTTGGTTATCTTATATATCTTCTTTAGACTTTGCAAATTTTCTTTTTTATTTATCTTCTTCAATTTCTATATCGTCTTATCAAATTCTCTTGTATTTTGATCTTCTTAGACTTAATCGTCAATTATTTTTCCTTATCCAAAACGTCAAGATCGATCATCGATCTTCTCTGACTAATCGTTCGTCTTTTTTTTTCAGTTTAGTTATCTCTTTTCTCTCTTGTTTGAGTGCTTATAACAGCTCTCATCTAATAATTTTTCTTTAATAATCACTCTTCTTCAAATGGTCATAAAAATTTTATATATAAACCAGATTTTTTAATTTTAATAATAAATTTAAGCATATTTTATATACGAATTATATCTGAATACAAATACAACATTAGTACAAGACAATATGTATCACGAGAATGCAAAGTATTGCATCTGGAGACTATTGCAATCATCTTGCTCAACCATGCATTGACTGAAGAGAATTGAATGCTTGGTTGATCTTTGACAGTCTCTACCAAGAGACAGAAGCATCACTAAGATAAAAAAAACACAAGATTACGGAACAAAACAATGTCTATCTCTTTGATATTGGCTAAAATTTTATTATAAATAATAATCGAAGCATCATCACATGTAAAATATGTAAATTTTCATGTTTTCAAATTTCTAAACGAATTAAATTTTTATAAAATTAAATAAATAAATAAATATTTCTATAAAATATAATTAAGATTTATTTCTCTGATTCATACAAATTAATGTAATACTTGTAACACGATTAACAATTACATTAAAAGTACAAAGTTCTAAATGCATAAATTCAATCATTTAATGACTTCTATTTAATGTTTTATTATCTTAAACCTTTTAAGATATGTAAATTATGTAAAGTTAATACTCAATAAAATCAAAACATATTATATTATAACATTTATTACTTTTAAAATATATGAAAAGTATCATTCTTATCTCTTTCTCTTTCAGTAGTGCGGGAAAGAGTCATTTACAGGCTAACGTTTTCCAGAGAAAATTTTCAATAGCGTTGTTACAAATTATTAATCGCCATTATCTTTGTAAATAAGTGCAAAGCGTAAGATATCCATTATTCTTCATCAATCTCTCGTGAAAATAAATAAAGAAAATAAATTTAACTCGATTCAAATTCAAAAGTCATCTTTATCTTGAATTCCTTTAATAGTAACAGAAGAAGTAAAGATCGTGAAACGAAGAAAGAATAGAGGATTGTAAAAACTAGATAAGAATAATTGAATGCTGGGGGAAGTTTTGCTTCTTGATGTAGATCATTCTTTGATTTAGTAGTTGCTGTACAATTCGTAAATCAAAACCGCAAACAAAGAGAACATTTTCCTTTCTATACACGTTGTTTTTTTTTTCCTTGAAACTTTTCCAGAATTTTCTAAGTCGTTTCGATTCATATAAAATAAAATAAGAGAATTAAAATTTTTATAAAATAAATAAAATTTATTATTAGTATAAGCTTATCAAGAAATGATAACACGTGAGAAGAGAAAAGGATAAAAATGGAGAAAGGAATCTTGATTAAGATAATTAGTTTAACGATAAAATTCTTCCATAAGATTAAGTATAAGATAATTTTAGAACTATAATTAGTTGAATATTCTTCATTTTATCGAATTAATACGGAAATATTTTGTTTATTATATGAAGTCGAAATAGAATATTAATTTTTTCTTTTTAACTTTACATAGTTTATTAAATTGATTTTGATTTTAAATGTTCGTAATGAACAAATTAAATTTTAATAATAAAAAGAAATTAAACACGTGTAATTAAAATTTAATTCTAAATATTACTTTTAAAAATACCCCCCCTTTCTTTTTACTTATAATATAATATACAACTTTATAAATATTTTCCTTTTACTGAACTTATTTAAATTAAGATTTATTGTAGAATTTTATGTTTTTATACATCCTGTTGCTACTTATTTTGTTTATATCTAAAATATACGTCTACATAAGTAAACATAAGAAGAATATCTGCATTAGAATTTGCGTAAAACTTAGAATTTAACCAAGATTTTTGTTATAAAATATTAAAAAATATCGAGATTTTTATATTTAAAACTTGAAAATATTATATTCTAAGAAAATTATGATTGTTTTAATACAGTAATAATATAAAATGATTGAAAAATAGATTTATTTTATTTTCATTTTAAATTCCTTTAAAATTTTTTTTTACATTCGTAATTAATCTTTTGCTGTTAAATGAGTTATAAAAATATTTTTCTTAAAAAAACATTGAGGAAAAAGTACATTTTAACCTAAATAATCGAATAGAATTGCCATAATCCTCTTCCATCCTAGGTAAATGGCTTTCAAGAAATATGGATTCTTATATTCAATTATCGTGTTCGCGTTGCCTTCACCAACCTCTAAATGAAAAGAACTGATGAAAATATCTCTAGAGAATAGTGGCGTACTTTCCTACATTCTCTAGAGCATGTAGTTCCAAACGAAATACGACAATCCCAAAGGAAATGGCAGGTCAGAATGCGACAAATGTGTCTAAATAGACATCCCACTAGAGGAGAACCCCCTTTCAAAAGAAGTAGACAATGGACAAAGAAGTTTATAAGGAAGTTGTGGAGAGAAGCCAAAATATAGCGAAACACATCAATTTCGATAATAAAGATAGCTATAAATGTAAAAAATCCCATTTAAAATGTAAAATAATCATAAAAATTTCTATTAACTTGTAGAATTTTCTACAGCTTTATCAAGATTTGTACTTTATATTTTCGAATTAATATAAAGTTTTACTTCATTATCAATTTTGTCAGTAAAATTTTGAGATGTATCCAAATCTAAAATAATTGAGAATCGTCGATTATAAAGTTAATTCATTCAGAAAATGTCCATCGAAATTTGGCAGAAAACTAACTTTTCAACCCATATTTTTTTTGTTCTTTTACTAAATTTAGATAATTTCTATCGATATAATTTCATCAATACTTAAAAATGTATATGATTATATACATTTTTCACTCTTCAATCGATCTATTTTTAAATAATTTAAAGATTACGAGAGAGAGAGAGAGAGAGAGAGTTTATCTGAGTGAATATAAACGATTAGTTCTCAATCCAATCTGCCATCATCAAACAAGTTGCCAGAATGGTGGATATCGAAGTGATATTGAGAAAAAAAGTAAATTGGGAATTTTGAACAAATAGCTAATGAACAACAAACCAAAGAAAAAAATAAAATAAAAAAATAAAAAAGGTTTTGACCAGAGAAGATAAATGAAGTGTATCGAAGCTGGAACGAAGCCAAGACACCTCGCAAACTCATTACGTTATCTAATTATTAGGGCGTTGGCTAGACGGTGTCCAACAACTGGTATTAAGTCTTTAGACAGAGGTAATGTTCAATATTTAACGAACTAAAATCACGTGTTAGATATAAGTTAAAATTATGCCAATTTTCAATGGTTCATTGGACGACGATGAGAAAAAATTGCTGACGATATCAACGCATTTCTAAGTAGCATAAAAAAAAATATATATATATATATATAAAGCTTCTTTCTCTTATTTATAAATATTTAAAGAGAATTTGTTATTAATTAATTCGAAACGATTACGTTTTATAGCTATTACAATATACATTTTTATAATTTACTAAACAGGAAAAGAGATTTAAAAAATCAAAAATAATTAAGAAAATCAACAACAGGTATTATCTCGTCAAAGAGATTTAAATAAAAATATTTTAATTAAGATAACTCATAAAAAAAATATCAGAATTTTCGCAGTAATTGCTTTCAATTATAAAAGATCATCATCCTAGAGATGTCAGCGCTCGTAATCACTTTGATTTATTATTCCAGGGACGATTTATGAAATCATTAAATGTACAAATTTATGCTCAGATTGCCGGGTTTGTATCATTTATTATTCATTTCTGATTCTTCCTTTTTGTTATTATACAAGTTGCATTTCGATCAATTATTTTAATTTTGTACATGGAGAGGTTTTTCTCTCTTTCTCTCTCTCTCTCTCTTTCCTTTTGCTCTGTTCCGGAAGTATTATATTGTACGAGGAATTTTTCTCTTTTAAATTGCCTGACAACTAACACTTTATTATTCATTATTATCCAGTATGTGACAATTATTATAGTAGTAGCGGTAGCGGTC